AGGGCCCTCAGATCCGTGACCTCCAGCGTGGTGTCGAGATTGTGATCGCTACGCCCGGTCGTCTCATTGACATGCTTGAGTCTGGCAAGACTAATCTTCGTCGCGTCACCTACCTCGTCATGGACGAGGCCGATCGTATGCTGGACATGGGTTTCGAGCCCCAGATCAGGAAAATCGTTAGCCAGATCCGTCCCGATAGGCAAACATTGATGTTCAGTGCTACGTGGCCTAAGGACGTCCAAAAGCTGGCCAATGTATGTCCACCGCGCTTCCTAGACGACAGTTTGAATCCTCATCATCCATTTACAGGACTTCTTGAAAGACTTCATCCAAGTCAACATCGGCTCTATGGAGCTCACTGCCAACCATAACATCCAGCAAATCGTCGAGGTCGTCAGCGACTTTGAGAAGAGGGCGAAGCTCATTAAGCACCTCGATCAAATTAGCCAAGAGCATGCGAAGGTACTGATCTTCGTCGGTACCAAGCGTGTTGCGGACGATATCACGAAGTACCTCCGTCAAGACGGATGGCCGGCGTTGGCCATCCACGGAGACAAGGAGCAGTACGTAGTGTTGACATCGGTGTCAAGGTTGACCGCTGATAGACATGAACAGGCGTGAGCGTGATTGGGTCTTGGGCGAGTTCAAGGCGGGACGTTCGCCCATCTTGATTGCTACTGACGTAGCGTCTCGTGGACTTGGTACGTTTTCCTTTTCTAACAAGCGCTGCGACTACGTGTTACAGCGGCACGGCGGGCGTTCGCGCTGGTGCGCGTGCTGTTGTCGACTGCGACGACGAGGACAGTCGAGATGTTCGTTAGGTCACGGGTACGTCGACGGGGCAAGACAGGCCAAGACATCAAGAGCGCGCATCGAGTTACAGCGGACTCCCTCCTGATCATGCACAGTTCCCTCTGACCTCCCACCTGCACCCGGCCGCATGCCCTCTTTCGGGTGCGATGCGGTATGCGCGGGTCACATAGCATGAACAGTCGAATTGTTCCTGGTATGGTATGGTCGCGGTTACGGACTCGGTAGCAGCAGATATTGGGACTCAAGCGTTCGCTCACTTGTCGACATCGGACTCTGCGCGCACAAGACTTGCCTGTCTCTAGCTCGGACGCATACAGCCTGGACCTGGCCACCCCTTTCTATTCTTTGGTTTTCTGGGTGGTCAAGGTGACCTTTGGACGGACAGAATCGATGGTTGAGTGCGACTTCCGATGGTCGTTCTCTCGTCGTGGCGTCGGAGCGCTTGTAGTCTCCGTCTCCGTGAGTTGTGTTATTGACCGTGCTCTTGCTTCTTTTCCTCTTCTATGTGCGATCTATCTGTCGACTCGCGCTGTGTCTTGCGATCGGATCGTGCGTGCTCTCTTGCGATTTTGTACTCGCTTGTCGGGCTGCTCGTCTTTCGCGCACAGACGTGAAGGACGTCCGTTATGTCATTGTAAGCCCTCTTCCTTTGTTCGCTTGGTGGTCCGCTTGCTTAAATTCTCGTGCTAGAACTACGATTTCCCTAACAACTGCGAAGACTACATCCACCGGATCGGTCGTACAGGAGTAAGTCTGGTGATTTGATTGTATCTCCCTCTCATTTACTTACACGATATATCTCAGCGTGCTGGCATGAAGGGCACGTCCTACACGTACTTCACGACCGACAACGCAAAGCAGGCTCGTGAGCTCATCGGCATTTTACGAGAGGCCAACGCGACCGTCCCTCCTCAACTCGAGGAGATGGCAATGTACAGCGGCGGCGGCGGCGGACGCAGTACGTTACTTGGTGCAATCCTTTCATCCGTGCTCATAGCTGACACGTTCTGTTTAGGCCGGTACGGCGGCGGCGGCCGTGGTCGTGGCGGAGGCGGCGGTGGACGCTACGGCGGTGGAGGCGGCCACGACAACGGCTATGGTGGCCGTGACAATGGCTATGGCGGGCGGAGCCACGATCGCTGGTAAGGATGTCTTGCGTTGCGATCGTCTCCTTTCCTCTCTGCCTGTCTGTGGATATATGTGCTGGCGTGTCTGAGACAGCGCCTTCACGTCGTTATGCCCGTGATGACCTCCGTCCCGTTGCGAACGTTGGACTGTGACTCCCGCTATAGAGCCTGATGACCGGTGGTACTGGTGTCAGTAGTAATGTGTTGTCTGTCGCATGCATTCGTTTAGAGTTGCAGCTTGTAATCACATCATCATGTCCGATATCGTTCAGCGCAGAGTGCAAGTCCGGTCAGTGGGTGAGTCAGCCCGGGAGCGGGAAAGGACTGCACCCGTGAATCATCAGCAATGTAGGTATGCTTTAACGAGTATAGTATCACGTTCGCAGCCTGTAGCTCCATAGTACGAACCATCCACCATGTCGGTGAGCACTCCGCCACAAATATACGGAGTAGTCCTGCTCTATATTGACACCATCTGCACTCGGACAAGCCGTCCAACACCTCCAAGCAGACCCTCGTCATCGCAGGGATCACTGTGAACGTGTTCTCACAGCCTGCCACACTCCCCGCAGACACCCCGGTCACAGCGCTCTTCCTCTTGCACGGGCGTACGGGTAGCGATGCGGACAGCGAGCCCATCGCCCGTGGAATACTGGACGAGGTGGGGAGGCAGCGGGAGGGGTCTCAGGCTCAGGGGGCACAGGCGGATGATCTGATCATCGTCACTTTTGTGGGTCCTTGTAGGTCCTTTACGGGGTGTGGTTGGCTAACTTGGCGCTGTGGGATGGATGGGTGATAGGATCATAGGAACCATGGCGCAAGACTGGTGGATAAGCTGGCTAATTGGCACTGGGAGAAGGACCCGGCGAAGAGCAATGTCCGCCATGCGTGAGTGTCAGTTTACATCACTGCAGGGGGTGTACGTTCGCTGACGACAGGGTCGATCTCTATCTGCCTATAGCTTGGATATGTACGCGATTCAGAGTGAGTTTAAACTCTGCGTGGTACTTTGCGATGGCTATCGCTCGCTTGCTGACGTCTACTCGTGATCAAAGCGGGCACGGCGAACGATGTGTCTTTTCTAATCGACTTTCTGCCTGCGTACCTCTACCCGAACGGTGAACGCACCGTTGTGCGGTGGGGCGTCGCAGGCGTGAGCCTAGGCGGGCACTCGACCTGGATTACACTCAAGAACGGTGAGGTTCTCACGAACAATTGCATTCATGCCTCTCGCTGACGACAGAACGCGTCTTGCAACGCCAGACCCCAGAGTGACCTTCGGGATCCCGATCATAGGCTGCCCGGACTACCTCACGCTCATGAGCGAACGCGCAGAACAAAACAAGTTGCCCGTCGCCCCGCCGTACTTCCCTACGTCCTTCCTCGAGTACGTACGCACGCACGACCCGGCCGCGGCTCCACACACGGCGGACGCGCCACGCGGGACGAACCCGTTCCGGGGCAAACGGGTGCTCGTACTGTGCGGGAAGGAGGACACGCTCGTGCCGTGGAGCGCGTCGAAGAGGTTTGTCGAGGAGCTGGACGTAGGAGAGGGAGCGAAGGAAGTGTGGGTGGAGGAGGGGACGGGACATCGGTGCTCGGAGGGGATGGTGAAGCGGGCGGGGGAGTTTGTGTGGAAGCAGGCGTTGGTGCGCGGGCAGTAGAGCAGGCGGGGCTCACGGTCAGTGCAGGAGCAGTTATTGGGGTAACGTCAGTGTATGGGCTGCGGGATATGTATGATACACGTGCTGGGGAATCGCAAAGCAGAAATCAATCGTACACATCTCTCTCTCTCTCTACGTTTGATGTCTGTCCTATATTACATACTACTCTGCGATAGCAGAAGGACCGCGATCAGTATGGCTACCTTCGACGCGAGTGTGAGAGGGAGGGACGTACTCGCTTTAGGCCCGAGCTTAAGCCACTTGGGGAACTTGCGCTCGCCCTCGTCTTTGCCCGCGAGCTCGAGGTTGGCGCGTGGTCGTGGAGCCCCACCGGACTTGCCGTCGTCCTTGTTCGCGTTGGGATCGGCGTCGAAGACGGGCGGGGTAGGGACGTCTTCTGCGAGGGCGAGCACAGATGGGTCGAGCGGTGCGGGGACGTCTTGATCTGTGTAATGATGTTTAGGGGGATTATATGTGGAAGGGAGAAGGGGAGAGTCATACGGTTCAAGCTGTCGTCTTCAAACTTGAGCAGGAGGAGGGAAGAGGGAGCGAGATCGAGTTCGGCGAGGGAGAGGTCGCGGACCTTGGGATCGGAGACCTTGTACTCGCGTTTAGGTGGGGACTGGTCTTTGTACGCGGGATGCGTAGGTGAGCACAAGATGGAGTAGAAGGAGGGCGGGCGCAGGACGTACAGAGGACGAACTTGATGGGCTTAACGTCTTCGCGGAGGGAGCCACGGACGAAGGCGTAGACGGACTTGATCTTGTCTGTGGAGGGGAAGGTCTTCTCGAGCATGCTCCTGTCTGCGAACTTTACCCGAATCGTGGTCTGCGGAGGGGTAGTTGGGGATTTGGAGAGGATGGGTGGAGGGGAGGCGTACGCACCTGGGGCCATCGTGCTCTGCGCTTCTTGTCCTCCGCCTCGCGCATGGCAGCTGTGCGGAGGGGCGCGTTGTGGAGGGCGTCACGGCGGGCGGCGAGCATGGCCTGTTGGGCGCGGACGTCTGCGGCGGTGACATCGAAGTAGTTGTCCGGGAGTTCACCTACGCGTGCGATGGGGCGGCGCGAGGGCAGTGTCAGTGCGAGATGACAGTGGGCTGGGGAGAGAGACGTACTGCGGGGCTGTTGGGCGGAGGTTGGTGGACGGAAGTAGCGGAACTGGGGCTTGTCTTGAGCGGGAGGTTGGGAGGAGCTGGAGTCTGCCATGGGTGCTGGGTACGCTGGTCGGGGAGGATGTAAGTGCGAGTGCGAGTGCGAGTGCGAGTGCGAGTGCGAGTGCGAGTGCGAGTGCGAGTGGCTGAGTGCAGCTGCCTCTGATCTCAAGTCCTCGATCATCCTCCAGCACTTTCCATGCCCTGTCACTCTCATCAGTCTCATATTTCTCTCTGCCCAGACAAGCCGGGATAGCTCAGCTGGGAGAGCAACAGACTGAAGAGCTTCCTAGGAAGCTGTGAGTTCTGGAGGTCGCGTGTTCAATCCACGCTCCTGGCACACTACGGATCGTGCCCAAGATTTTGCGTTACGTTTTTCCCTCTTCCTCACGATCGCACTGCTCAGTACTGCTGCATTCCGCCGCAGCGGTGGGATTATGCAGATTCGATCCTAACCAAGGCGCGCCGCGATTTTGTTTACCCATCAACAACTGGCTGAACCCTCGTTGCTCGTTGCTCGCCTCAGCCACCTCACCGAGAGCTGCGAGCAACACAATGATCACCATCTAAATCCTCTTCATGGTGTCTAGGCACATTTCTCCAATCCGGGCGGTCGAAACCGTCTGGGGTTTACGGTGGTCGTATCTCCGGATGAGCGCATAGATCTCGACGGAACCCTGTCGCTATGCGCAACCACACGTGTGGGCGGTAGGTAGCGAAGATAGCGTAGGGCGACGGGGCGACGGGAACGGCCTGGGCCAATTGTAGGACGTCGAGAGGAGCTGGCGTTCAAGTCTGGGTGGCGTCGTGTGGGCGTATGTGCTCGGCCTGCTTCGGCCCGCCCACAATGGATGGAGATGTTCTACGGATGCTTCTGGTGGGGGTCCCAGGTGAAGGCCAATCGCTGCGGACTAGGCGGGTGGAGCAGCGCAGGGCGGTGACCGGTGCGCCTGATGGATGTAGTCTGCGGATGGGCGAGGATGAACGGTAAGCCCTGCTTGCGCAAAATTGATAACAGGCACAAGAAGTGGTGCGCGTGCAAGCAAGCGGTGCGGGGGGTCTAGGGTGGCTTACAAGCGTTCGTGAGCGGCAGCGACGGCACTTGTAGGTTCGTGCAGAAAAGCACCGTCCGAGAGACACTGGACCGCGGTGTTGTCTGCAACGACCAGAGACTGCCAACCGGATGGATTGGGAGGACGGGCGGGAAGGATCGACGATCGGAAACAAGCACAGATCGCACCAGATCGGATCTGGGGAGGCGGACGTCTCGATTTGGAAAGAAGCATACCACCACATGGAACCTGTACTCGACATATCCCACTGCAGTCTGTGTATCCGACTCTGCGAACATACACGGAGCCGTTGCAAAAATATGGGTCAAGAGGGTCAAGACAACCGGCAAGGACCGTCGTTCTGGGCGACCGGAACGAGGGAGGAAAGAGGCCCAAGAAGACCAAGGCCCGAACGGTCGCAGCGCACGCCCTGTCCCCTCCTTGGCGGCATACTCCTCCTCCCGAGTCTGAACGAGAGAGCTGCTAGTCTCTGGCCTGATCCGTTTATCCGCCTCTCCCTCACGAGACTGCTCCTCCGCTCTTTCATATCCCCCGCGCTGCCACCCCCATAGTCTCCCTCACTCCCTCCTTCACCCCGACCTTAACTATCCTCCACAGTCCGCATCGTCGTGACTCCTCTCCCGCTCCTTCTCTCGGTTCCCTCTCCTCCGCCTACCTCTCGCAGCCTCTCAGCCATGTCTGCCGATGCTTCCTCCGTGTCTGTCCCAAACCTTGGCATCACCAAGAGCTCAGACAACCCTGCCGTGTCCTTCATCGGAGGCCTCTTGATTGAGATCTTCGTCGCTTGTATGTACGTACTAGCCCTGAGTCATCGACCGCTAGATTGCCACAGCTCAACCGCATCCAGTTTGTATGGAATCACGACCTTGCAGTCGTTCATGTACTACCAGAAGTACCCCAACGACGCGCTCTCCCTCAAGCTGCTAGTGTGTATCTATTGCCTTCATTTACTAGAACCCTACTCATCACTATAACCACAGGTTGGAGCCGTATGGTCCGTCTCTTCCCTTCTTCTGAGCCTCTGCTCTCGCTGACGCCTAACAGGGCTCTCGAGACCGTGCACACGGCGTTCTGCATGCAGTTCCTCTACGCCTACCTCGTCGAGGGCTTCGCAGACTTTGCCTACTTCCTCCAAATCAACTGGTACGCCCGCCTGCCCTTTGAGCCTTCACCGGAATGAACGTTCATCCTAATTGACTCTGATGTGTACGCGCGCGTGCTCTGTTTCGGTGGCGATGCAGGGGTATCGGGGTGAGTTGCTAGCCGAGCTCGCAAGCGAAATGAACTTGGAAAGGTTGACTGATGGCGCTCCTCCTTGCCCTCGTCCCATGCGTAGATCACTGTTATCACCAGTGTGAGTGTTCCTTTTGCGTCGAACCGGATGCTGCCAGGGGTAGTGTGCTGAGTAGACGGGTGGCTATTTAGGCGGGCATTGCGCTGTGCGTGCAGGGGTACTACGTTTGGCGCGTATGGTGCGTTAGCAGCAAGTCTTTCCTGTGGACCATTGTCATCGTAGGTCCTCTCCGTTGAGGAGGGCTCGTTTCTGTACTGAATGGCGCATGTAGGGTATCTTCGCTCTCGCGCGAGTCGGTACGTGATTAGGCACTAGACGCACATGGATTCACTTGACCTACCTCTCCTGGCTCCCGTAGCTTTCGGTATTGGTGAGTTCATACGCTGACAATGATCTAGACGCACTAATCACCGTCATTTCATTCAGGCTCGACCATTCTGAGTTACACGTACCCACAATGGCTCGTGTTTAGAAACACGACGTCGTCGCTCGTACGTTCCTCGCCTTTCATGCTGCAGGACCTGTTGTTGACACTATGCAGGTCACGATCAGCGGAGGCCTGGGGTCTGCTGCCCTCGTGGACATGCTCGTCGCGCTCACGCTCTCGTACTACCTCAACAAGGGCCGGAGCTCGTGGCACAAGTGCGTTCTCAGTCGACTGCTGGCGGCAAGAGACGGATGCTCATCGTCAACTACTTCACTACAGGGAGTCTAACAGCAAGATCAACATGATCCTGCTGTACGCAGTAAACACGGGTGCTATCACCGGGTGAGTCTGCCAATGACCGTGTTCGGTGTGTGGGAGGGTGCATGCTGACCGCAAATATGGTCCAGAACTGCGTCGTTGCTTTGCGTTATCTTGGTGCGTCGAACTTCGTCCTTTCAATCACCTGCCTGTCACTGACATCGCACGCAGTTCGCCACCCAAAAGCAGAGCCTCGTGTTCCTCGGCCTCGTCGAGATCCAGGCCAAACGTACGTCTGCTTCCCTTCCACGTCCCCTCGTAGTCGTGACGGCTCACCGCGGGCACGAGCAGTGTACGCGAACTCGTTCCTCGGCTCGCTCAACGCTCGCTCGCACATCCGGAACAAGAATAACCCCGCGGCGCAGTACCCCTCCTTCGAGTTCAGCTCGTCCGGGAACGGCTTCCGCGCCGTCGTCCCGCCCCAGGTGCCCGTCGTACGTCTCTTTCTCTCCGCCATTGTCCGTGTAAACGAGCGAATGTTGATATATACGGGGTCGGTTTGTGTGTGCAGCCAAAGGTGGAAGTCTACCAGCAGACGATCGTGCACGACGACCGCGGGTTGTCGAACGAGGTGCGTAGCAATGATTGGCGGGTCCCCTCACGGCGAGTAGAAGCTGACGGCACTCTTTCGCAGAGCGAGTTTGATATGCGCAACCTCAAAGGCGGCGAGCTCGTATGAAGGGGACGAAAAGTTTGACATTCGCGTGTACATACATACATACCCCCTTCGCAAGTGGTGGTCGGCGCGGGACTCGCTGGATCGAGGTGTTCGTGCGGTTGGTTGGGTAGCGAGCTTGGGTGCTCGGTCGAGTAGCGAGTTTGCGTGCCGATGGGGAAAGAGGATACCGGGTTCGATCTTGATATCCTAAGGGTCCGTGGTGCCTTTGGTGCCCATCGCCCGGTAGCGGGTAATGGAGGTCGGGTCGTTTGTGTGGATGTAGTGTCAGAATCGGAGGCAGCGTTTGGTGAATGGTGAACACTCGCAAGAAAAAGAGAATGAAGTTAAGCATATAGGGGAGCTTATGACTTCACGCCGATAATGTTAGAGGCAGCCTGCATACGGTATGCAAACGCTTGTCTTCAAACAAGCAGTGTATTAACACAGACAGAAGGTACAGGAGGAGAGGAGAGCGCAAACGACGACGATTGAGAGAGAGGGATTATTACATCTACATGCGAGAGAGAAAAAGATGGCTAAAAAGAAGAGGATCCATCCGCTACCCAAAGAGCGCGCCGCCGGGAGAAGGCGATTATCGGATTACTATGTACAGAACCGGGACGAGGCAGATTGGGAGTAAGTCCGGCGTGATTGTTCCTGCCTATCGAGAAGGGTTGCGCACGGATGGTTCATGGTGAGAACGGGGTCGGCGGTGTAGTATATATGTGACGATGTCCGCGGTCAGAACGTACGGGACACTACCTAGGACGGGAAGTTGAAGGAGGAGCCGCCGTTGGGCAGGCTCGACCCGACGTGCTGCTCCGCCCGCGGGGCTGAGTATGTGTGGCTCGCGAGAGGATCTATGGGGCTCAGCTGGCTCTGGGGGTAAGATGGACGGCCGTGTTGACTTGTGTGCCCTGATTGGAGGAACGAATTCATGGAGGACTGCCCGTGCCCGTGACTGTAGGACTGTTGGGCCGGCCACGCTGAGGAACCGTTGTAGCGGCTGCCGGTATCGTGCATGTATGCAAGAGACTCAGCGGCGGCTTGGACGGCGTTGCCGGTAGTGGGGGAGGAGTGGTAGCCGCTTGTTGCGGAGGTGCTCGGCCAGCGCGCAGCAGACATGCTCGGCGCGTCGTACGAGGATGAAGGATTCTGCAGGATGAGTCAGATAAAGGACTACGCACCAAAATCCAAGTCTACTCACTTGGTATGCAGAAGGAAGGCGGCCGCTGTTTGCGTACGACCCACTACTGTGAGCATACTGAGGTGCAAACTGGGTAGACTGCATCCGGCCATTCAGATGATCCGCGGAGGAGGAATACCCGTTGCCATTGCCCCATCCGGACGGGTGCGATGAGGGTAAGGGGGCGCCGCGAGAAGACATACCACGTTGGTCGGACTGATAATGTGGGAAGGAAAAGCCATTATTAGGATACGACGGACGGGAGTAGGAGGCGGTTCCCACATGGTTCGCGCTGTACTGCTGCTGTTGAGGGTACCCTGTCCCGTTCTCCAGAGGAGAGCGGTGAGAGTATCTCAAATCTGACGTCTGGGCGTAAGGATCTAC